CAAACAGAAATAGTAATACACGACTTACCTCTTCAATGCCTAGCTCAACGGTCCTTTCTTGCAAGGCACTAACATCTTTGACGTTAAATTTGTTCAGTAAGGTAAAGCAAGAAATGGTAGACAGAGGCTGAACCTCAAGATCATCCATCACCATGTAAGTAACAACTCCTTTCACAAATCCACCTTCACTAGAAGAATCTGTGACTTCCGTAGCATTCTTCGTAACAAATTGCAAAGGAAGTTCCATTTTACTGTTGCAATATGGACATAAAGTTCCCAAAAAGTTCGTCACATAATTCTTGCAGCGGTCTGGGCACATGTGCAAACTTGGAGGCGTTAGTTTGCTATCATCAAGGCCATCATTTGCTGGCAGAAGATATCCAGAAACAGGAGCAATTGGCTTCAACAAAAGGTCCCTATCTGTGTGTGGATTTAGCATGTAATCATCGTTGAGATTCTCAATGCTTTTATAGAGTTTGCCTAATGAACCCACCATGCCTTTCTTAGTCAGGAGCCTTGTGACTGTACCGATAGGCAAGCGATACATGTTGAAGAGGAAGTCTATGAATTCCTTGGATGCTTCAGCAAAGAGAACTCTCTCAGCAGTAGTGTCAATCAGAAGCTTTAAGCTCATTTTCTTTGATGATGAGGATAACATTGTGGAGGACGGATGTAATTGCTTTTCAACTATAGCCTGAAAAAAAAAAAAAAAGCATCAGAAATCAGAATATTAATATTATGTGCATAGGATATTATATTATGAAATGAAGTAAAAAGAAATGTGATGAAAGTAGAGGATTTTAATTGATAGTAAGATCCAAATTTGTGTTTCTACATCTCTTTAGGTCATTAAAGAACGGTTCTCTAAACTCTAGAAGATAAAAATTCAGGCAAAACAAATACCAATTCAATCTATTTGTATTAGTACTAATTTAGACAACGAGTTTTTTTTTTCCCCATTCTAAAGTAAAGATGCTCTTGTTGTTTGAAGTTATTCTTAGAATTATCCATCCCTATTCTCTTTTTCTTTGTCAACCAACTGCTGGCTTTTTCTGAGTTTGGGAAAAGGGGGATAAGTCCGAATTGAAAGAGAAACAGAGAGATGATCGTACCTTACAGCTTCCTCTGTTGCTGCGCTTGATGTCGTCGCAGAAATGGATTAAGTTTGAATTTAGGAAATACGATTTTTTTTTGGGTGTTTTTTCAAATTATTTTCTCATTTTTCCCGCCCAGTTCTTTTCTGCTTTTCGTTCTCTCACCGTTTTTTTCTCCTTTTACCTCCGTTTTTATTGGCGGCAACTTTTTTTTTCAGTTCATATTTTTTCTACTCGTTTTTTGTTTTTAATTTATCCTCAATTATCAATCGAATTTCTAAATTTTAATTTAAAAAAACTCAACAACAACAACAACAACAACGAGCCTTTATCCCACTAGGTGGGGTCGGCTACATGGATTGCAAGATGTCATTGTGCTCTATCATTTATTAAGCTTTTAGAAATATTATTAATTAAGAGATCACGTTCAACAACTTTCAAGAGTGTTCTCTTAGGCCTTCCTCTACCTCTCTTAATCGGACTCAAAGTTATATGTTCCACTCTTCTCACCGGTGCCTCCCTTGGTCTTCTTTGTACATGCCCAAACCATCTCAACCGATTTTCTACCATTTTTTCCTCAATAGGTGCCACCTTCACTTTTTCACGTACGTGCTCATTTCGAATTTTATCTTTACATGTATGTCCGTACATCCATCGTAACATTCTCATCTCTGCTACTTCAACTTTATGCTCTTGCTGTCCCGTTAGAGCCCAGCATTCACTACTATATAACATTGCCGGTCTAATAGCAGTACGATAAAACTTTCCTTTAATTTAAAAAAACTCATTCTTGAAAATTTCTTAACTCAAAATAATTCAACCTTTAATTATATAATCTAATTTATATTTAGATATTTTTATTTTTAAGAATATTTTGAAAAAATGAAACATGTTTGGATATTTTAATTAAAAGCACGTTTATGAGTTTTATAATATGATATTACATGACTAACAATATTGAATATGTGTAAAAGTTGACCTATTTTAATATATATGTATGTATGTATGTATGTATGTATGTATGTGTGAGAATTAGATATCTATATGAATTCATCGTTAAAAATATAATCAAAAATTTTGATTGCGTTACATTATTGTCTGGCACATGCTTTATTTATAATTTGATTTTTGCTCCATTCTTGTACACACTCCATTAACTTTTTGGAGAAGCCATGGTTAAATTCAAGTTCCCATCACCAAATGATTATCATCCTCAAGTGCAAATATACCTTGATCTTCATGATGTATAGCTTATTTTAAATTTAAACAATAATAATTGAATATTTCATTGTAGTTTGCAAATTCAAATGAACAACTAAATTTAGAATAGAATGTATTTGGGCCTATTGTTGAGGCATCCACCCAAAATTGTAGAGAGGGAGTAAAACTGAAATGATGGGCCCAAGTAACAACAAAAGTTCAGTCCATTATCAAAAGAGTGCCACGTACGTATTTAATGTAACCCTTAACGCTTGAAATGATCAGATGTAGGAGACCATTGAAAAGATACAAAAGCATTACCTGATGTGTTGCTAATCTTGCAGGGCTGTGCTGAGTGATCAAGGATGTTTTGCACATGGGTTTTGGATTATTTAGGATGACAGTCTTAGACGAACACTTATAAATAGAACTCAAACTAACAACAAGGACATCATTAGCATTGTTAAAAAACATAGTACATCAAAAGTTCATATCTTTTTTCTGAGTTATTCTTAATTTAGGTTTAGATTTATTTTTAGTTTCCAAGTTTGTAATCATTGAAGCTTAGTATTTTATTTTTCTATTAATCAAAAATACTTTTTTTTCATTCTCTTTGCATCTTCACATTCAAATGAATTGAGATAAGAGAGTTTGATAACCTTATAATAATCTTTGAAACTCGTATCTCTAGCATGATTAGTTTTGTCATTCAAACACAACATTCAACTTGTGAAGAACAATATATTTTCATTTATATGGGCCTACCTATTCAATTAGTGTTAGATTAGATATTAAGCACCCACCAAATAATATTTATCTAATAAATAATGAGATTATTGTCATCACTGTTGTAATTTCCATGTAAATATAAGGGATAATGAAAGTTTTAATCTCTCAAGTTTGGATCAGTTATTGATTTGGTCTTTTGAATTTAATTTTTATTGATTTGGTTCTTTGCGTTTTTTCAAATTATCATGATAGTCCTCAAGTTTATTTTCAAATTAATCTAATGTATAAAATATTTCTATGACTTAACATTTATATGTAGTTAAATGAGAATAAATTAGTCATCAAATTTCTTTCATTTCTTTTTAATTTAGTCCCTTGTACTACATTTTGTTCCTTTTATTTTTAAAAATTTTTAAGTTTATTTTTTCAACCTAAATAATTACACTTATTTTCATTAATATATATATGAATGCTATCAAGATTTCATTATTCGTGTTTGCAAATTTTAACAATGCTGTTGTAGGATTAAAAGTAATAAGAACCAAATCAATAACTAATGCAAACTTAATAAACTAACTTGATAGCTAAGATAAATTTAAAGGATTAAAAGTTTGATTATCCCTAAATTAAGTCCATTGTAACTACATTAAACATACCAAAGAGGTGGTTGTGGGAAACTCATAGACCAATGAGTTGTGAGAACATTCTCAAATGCACAGTCATGCCTTCTCATTCTCATCCCATATAATTATGATGACGTTTAGTATTAGATGTCCTTTTTCTTCCTAAATATTCAGATTGATTACTATGACTAATCACATATGGTATATGAGAACCCTCAATTTGCTCATATGACATTCTTGAAAAATGGCCACTATTACTTATCATTTCAAATTTTTATATGAATTTCACGTAGCCATGAAACTCACAATTTTTCATAAGTATTAAAATCATTCTTATATCATTCTATTGCCCACTTTATATCCAACTATGTTTAAATACACAGCAACCATTTTTCTTTTAAGAAATTTTGTCGTGTGGGTGCAAGAAGAAATTTTGTAACGATCGAGATCCTACTTGTTATGAGACGTTTCAAATGGGGGGAAAACATATATTCAATTAATTGTGAACTAAATAGGTTCGACATGGTTTACATGGCTCTTTACCTACACACGAGATAATGTGCTGCCTAATATTTTGAATATCATAACGTAAAATGGAGAGTTAAGACAGATTCTTCATCTGAATTCTTCACATTCCAATCTGCCATGAATTATTTAAACCTGAGTGTGATGAAATTCAACTGCAAATGATCAAACACTATGAGTAAATTCAAGCATCAAAACTGGTAGTCAAATATAAGCATTCCGACTCTAATATGACTACTTTGAAAGCATAAATTCAAATTCTAGTAAAACACAATGATCAAATAATGTCCTAGTCAAGTGCTATGTTCAAATGGCAATGGGTTGTAAGCTGCATTCTTCAACCATTTCAACAAACTGAATTTATTCTCATATCCTTTCAACAGGCTCGAACATTGTCAGATGACAACATCGTGCGAACAAATCAAGATCACTCATAACAGCCTCCATGGTCAGAATTTCAGCCATCACTTCAGCAATAGATGTTCCAGGTACTATGGAGGTGTTTACGGCAGTTCTTCTAGCCTTATTAGGGCATCTATTCTACTTTCTGCATCAGCTATCTTTTTTGATTCTTCCCTTCAGATTCAGAATATCCCACTCTTTTCCTCTTACTGGTGTTTCTTTCACTTAGAGTCCCATGTGAAGTAATTAAATTCATATTTCGCAAGTCATCGCTAACTGGTCCGGCTGGAGCACCTTAAAGATCTTCTTCACTATCCCATCATCCTTCCTCTAGGTCTACACAATCACTGTCAATGGATGTACAGTACACATCATTCTCATCATCCACAGTATTAGAGGTTACCAGATCCTTGAATAAAATTGTCAATTCTAGAGCAAACAGAAGTGCTTTATATCTGAATTTTGCATATTGGGGATTTTCCAGCATTTTTACAAGTAATCAATATGAAATATCACACAAGAAAGATAATACTAATAACTTCACATGAACTACTTCATACCAATTGCTTTTTCTCCCACCAATCATCTTCATCTGGTGTGTCTACTATGTTCTTTGCACTATCCCCCCCTAAACCAGTCTTTTTGGAAAATAATTTATCCCATGTTGTCCGGTCTTTCCTAATGTTGTACCACTTGTTTTTGAATTGTCCTTTGTCATATTTTCTGCCCGTTTTCTCATTGAATCCAGAAATAACAGCTTTCCACCCCATCTTTGTAAGGGCGGTCCCTTTACGTTCTCCATTAAACTTGATCCAAGCATTCTCTGATAAAAATCTCAGTTGCTTTCGTATCTCATGTAGCTTTTGATTTGCCGTTACTCATGATTTCTATAAGCAAATGCACATTAGAAGAAAACAAGAAGATAGATAAACAACCATGTATAACATAAATAAGCCTCGAGCACTAATTATAAATGGCATACCAAGGTTCAAGAAATAAAAACAACAGTGTCATTTTTATCAAGTAACATTCATTTCATGCAGAGCTGATTTGAATTATAGCTCCCAAATGGTAAGTCTGTATCTCCTTTTAACCAATTCAGCAAAAAAGACAAATATCAACAGATTAAGATGTGGAGGCACATAGACTATGGGAGTTAATTTTGTGTTTAACACAAGCTTTCCCATGAAATACTGATATTTCATATCAATTCTTATAAATAATGAAAAGACAGTCCTCTAGATGAGCAAACAGCTAAAGAAAAATAAAACAATCCACCTGTGATATAAAATAAACATTTCCTCTTAATTTCTTTCCTGCCTATAGACCTCACCAAATTTCTCAATTGTCCAACAAAAATATCACTTTAAGAAAGATGCAGATGCAGGGAGTATCCGAACTTCCATGAAATATATTTTTCAACAGCAAATTAATAATCAGAACCGTAGGCAGATCCTACAATTTAATCCTCCTTTCAAGTGGAGGAAAATAATGAAACTAGCAAGAATAGTTAAAAGCTTAATGTATAGTTCAAAGTATGAGTTACAAACAAAAGCCATATCTCTCCACCTAGAATTCAACTCTAGATCGTTTACATTTAGAGGAATGAAGCCCTCTTATACATTCTTGAAACCAAAAGACAATGGAATCTCAAATTAGGAAATAAATAATGATATGACAAGGTTGCATTCCAGTCTACAATCCTAAAAGGTTCGGTCAATGAAGGTAAAGACACATTAAGAAATTCAATAACAAAGGCTTGCCTAAGAGAGTATAGTCACAATGGCCTACATCAATATAACAAGATTATCAAAGTTGTGAGAAATCCTACCATGAGAGAATAAAGAACCTAGCCAAATATAATTGTTGTATTTAAAAAGAATAATATTTCAAAACAGAATAGAATAGAAAGATCAAGATATTTGGCAAAAAAATAAAGATCAAGATACAAATATAATTTCCTTTGCCTTGTCTTGTTTCCTGTTGCTGAATATCTACATCCTTTGCCTCATTATACAAGTTCAATGTTTTTTACATCATGAAGGAAGAGAGAGAAAATATCCTACACATTGCACCACGGCCGCCACTATACTGTTTCTTCTTTGCAAATCACAACACATACACTAGCCTAAATAACATACCCAAATAATGAAATCATACAAAAACTATATCAGTCATAGTGTTATAGTTTACACAATTAATCCAATTGAAATGTTGTAGCGATCACTATTAATTGACAGAGGATAATGACTCTTTTCTTTACAATATGCACATATAGTGGGATGTTGTTTTTGTTATTGTTGTTGTGTGATAAAATATGTGATGCTTATATGTATATAAGTCTATATGTGCATGCCAATTTCTATTGACTTGGGGCCTCCATTTTTCTGATTTCTATTTGCTCAAAAAGTAGAAAGCATGAAAATTTAAACATGTGACGTAACATTAAATCAAGCCATATGAAGATAACAGCCTAAGAACCAGGTCATCTGAGAACCTTAAGATAAAGGAACATGAACCCACTACAGAACAAAATCCAAGTGAAAAAAGCTGCATCAATATACTGAGATAAGGCAACATATGAAAATCTAATCTTCACATTAAAGTATCATGCAACTCTTAATTAATACTTGTGCTCCTTTCCACCACCTTTCTTTTCCCATATAATATTTATCTCTAAGAGTTATCATCATTCACATACTACTGAGATGCACAAAATTTTGATTCGTTGAATATCAGGTGAGCCACATCTTTCTTCATGGTGGAATAAATCACCAGTGTCTTAAAAAGAATTTCTCTTTAATTTACCACGAATGGAATTAATAGCCTGAGAATTGCATAACAAGGCCATTTTTTTTTTTTTGTGTTTTGTAACCAGATGTGAGTCCTATGTAACTATTCACAATTTATAAACAGTACAATTGTTAGAATTATCATATTCTAATAAAAAATTTTTGCCGTTGGATTGATATGATGATTTAAGTCTCTCTCTCCCCCCTTTTCAGTAACAAAGGGATATACAAAAAGTCAAAAACAAAGGACATTAACCAAAACAAAAAATCTCTCTTTGACAGTAGGTAGAGGGAGTTCTCAATTTTTAAAAAATTAGATCAAATAAATCAAAAATAAAGTGAAATTACATAAAACCCAATTATTCTAGATGGCTAGACAAATTAGGAGCTTGCACATGTACGGATGTCACATATAAACAGACAGACATAGTACAACAATAAAAAAGAAAAGCACAAGACACGGCTCAATATAGAACTCATAGGATCTATTATGGACCTGACAGAGAAAAAAAAATGAAAATAAAATAGGGGAAACTGAAACATGCAAACATGAGTTCTCTAGTTCATTAATCTTAAACGGTATCTAGTGGAATCCTATAAAGGGGCTATATATGTTTGAGAGATTATATTCACAGGATTTGATGGAGAATAATCATCAGAATATGAACAGACTTCCAGAACAAGATAATGGACTTTTTGAGCTACAGGAACAAGAAAAAAAAATGAGAGTCGTGATTTGCTACGATGGCATTATATCAGTAACGAAAATGAGCTTGAAGCTTCTGACTGAAACAAAGGAGTTCTCCCCATCAAAAGATCCAGGGACTCAAGACCTTTAATCAAGAAGCATGTTAGGTCACTTAGGCAAACTCTTTTAAAGCATTGAGAACGCCAGTAATAATTACTGGTTGAATTCAGAAGAATACAATAAAGTTTTATTGAAACTAATCACTCCAATCTATAAATCTTCTCCCTATAAATGATGGTTTTGGTTGGCCATCAATTAGTTTCAGTAAAATATCTTAGTTTTGAAGTAAACTCAACAAATAATATCAGATTTTAATGTTTTTATAGAGTTTGCCTAAAGAAGGCATCATACCATCCGTGTTAAAGAGTCTTGTGATTGTTATGCCGATGAAATTGAATATAGTAAGTCAGAAGAGGAAGCAATGAAAAATCTTGAATCTTGACGCTTCAGCAAAGAGAATTTGAAGCATCATCTCAGTCGCATTTACAATAATAAACAAAAAAGAAAATCATCTTAAACAAAAGCCTAGAATGCATCATATTAATCAAACCCAATCATGATCTTAAACAGTAAAACTTCCAAAGGCTTGGAGCTCCCAAATTTCTTGGAGTTTTTACACAGGGCATAATGAACAACAAGAAGAATGGGCTAAGGCTTACTAAAATTATGGCAATAACGTGAATGGAACACATTGATTTATTCAGAAGATTTATGATAAACCAGAAGAGAACAAAATTTCAGAGAGTTTTTTACCTTTTTATTCTTCCCCGAACAGGCTTCACCTCCCGCTCTGCTTCCTGTTTGCCCCCTGTTTCATCTTACTCAGTCACTTTCTTTATCTCCGTCTGTCATCGAACACTCCGACCCTCAAACCCTTTTTTCCTCTCCTCTCAATTGCGCTCAGATACCCTCGAGCTACCCTTCATTCTTATTTGACTACGATCAAACTCTATCTCATTTTTATGAGACGGGCTTGAAGTCCTGAACGGGAGGGACTTGAGAGTTGAGACGGATACTGAAATCCGAATCCCTCGAAAGATTTTTATTTGACAAATAAAAGCTCATTTTTGCCCAAGTTATTTTGTTAACCCACGGAACTATTTTGTTGAAACAATACTCAAAATTGTTGCAATGTCATTTCAGGCTAATTTGATCATTAACTGGAGGGAGAGGGGGAGAGAGAGATTGGTTTGGCTGCATGTTGAAGTGAAAAAAAAAAAAAAGTATTAAAGAACATTTTTACTTAAATATTCGTGCATGAATAGCTGACATTCTTTAAAATATCCTTTGTGCAAATGCTGAAATGCATGATGCTGTTTTGTAATTTACAACTTGGTGGTCAAATATTAAGAAGATATTCGAATTGTGACAAGTATTTTCTTCCAGGTCATCGTTTAGTGAAAATTTCAACTGAAAAATTAACAAGTCATGCAATTAACAAGTCCATCTTTGATTGGATCAGGTTACATTTTTAAAATAAAATTCCAAATTACCTTAAGAAATTAATAAGTAAAAGTTTTGCAATTGATAACAATATATGCGAATTTTGATAAGTTAATCTCTAATTATCATAGGTCAATAAAATTTCAAGTTACTCTAAAAAAAAAATAACAAGTTAGAGTTTACATTCAAAATTCTTAAATTTTTAAAATTGCATTGCAGTTTAAGAGTATTGATTTGATATTAAATCTTTAAAAAATAAAAAAATTAGCCTTCATTTAAATTAATATTAGGACTATCCTACTTCATTTGTTCATTTACTTATCAAATGTCATTAATTGCCTTACTTTACTTGTTTATTTTCTTAAAATAAAATCAAATGAAAGTCTAGTAATGAATAAATGAAGTAGGATAATTAATAATAGTTCATAAGTAAATGAATAACATACAATATAGAAATCAATAAATTTTTTTAAGATGATTTAAACATCTAAAATAACAATAAGTTTAGTAGGGCAATTAATAACATTTTATAAGTAAATGGACAAGTAAAGTAGAGTATTTAACAAGTGAAGTAGAAAAGTTCTGGTATTAATTTAAAGAAAAATAATTTTATCATTTCTTTTAAATATTAAATTAGTACTTTTGGAATATAGTAAAATTTTAAAAATTTAAAAATTTTGAATGTGAATAAATTTGGTCAGTGACCCTTTATTGAAATTCTCGCTAACAGTAACCTATGTAGATTTCCACAAGCCATGGATTTTGATTAAACGACGACTTAGAAGAAAGCCACCGTGGAACATCTTGTCAATATCTAAACACCTGGATAACAAAACTTGTTACAATCCTCAATGAGCCTCCAATATATGCCGAAGCAGATTAATGTAACTTGGAACCTTTGTCGTCATAACACAAGGAATAAAGGCCTCATTACTAGGTCTTGTTATAAAAAAGGTCTACGCGTACCAGGCAAAGTCATCACGTTATTACAATCCTCATAAAGCAAACGATCATGATGAAGGCCTTAAGAAGGAGTTAAGATCTTATGAAGTATTGGCCATGCACCAAGAGTTCACAAGATAGCCTGATAAGCCCGCCCTTATCTATGGAGGTGAAAATGGTCTAGGTCGAGCAGGGCATCAACTTTACCTAATTCTTGCCCATTAATGCAGTTCAGGCTAGTCCTGATGCCCGAGCGTTGGAGTGAATTTTTTTAAAATATTACAAAAACATAAAAAAAAAACTTTAGTATTCTCAGCAAAAAAATATAATAATCCGCATGCATGTTTGGTTCTAGTTGAGAAGGCAAGGCTTGACTCTTGCCTGGTCAAGAATCCTTTGCTTATGAGGGCTAACTGAAGAGTCGCATTTGCATCTTCTGCGTTAGTGCGTAGCTTGTCATGATAGGGTTGAGTAATACTCGTTATCATGGAAACCTTAATTTGGAAATAAATAATTAATATTGACGTTGGCTGAAATTTAATACATATGTCAATTATCATGGTTAAGTATTTCAGTGATTTTATTAAAACTGGAAAAGAGAGGGAGAGCGCGTGTGTGTGTATGGAAGGATTGATCTGTTTTTTTTTTCTTTTTAAAGGAATAATAAATTAAACTTTAATTAATTAATTATTATTTCAAAATGCTTTAATGATTCTTTTTTTTTCGAAGTTCAATTTTTTCCAGGTTCATTTTAAATGCTCGTTATTATTGTATAGGGAAAACGCAAAAAATAAAAAATAAAAAATAAAAAGATTAGAATCTGTTTGGTTGCTAGAAATGATATGGATTAATGGAATAAATTAAAAAAATAAGAACAAATATGAATTCAATTAGTCAATAGGGGTTGGGTCTTGTAGAAGGAGGTTAGTCCTTTATTATGTGGCAAACCCAACCAATATTCAAATCTTCACTAAGAAATTTATTCACATTTAGCGCTTATGCTTTGAACAAGAATGCCTCGAATAGAAGGATATTTATAAGCAATAAAAAGATAAACTACAGTTACATTTGCTTGCTAGAATGAAATAAAATGCAATGGATTAAAAAAATAAAAATAAGATGAACAAAAGGAATAAGTGAGTACATTTATAAAGAGAATGGGTAATTTAATTCATTGAGTTAGGAATCATGATTTATGAGGTTTTTAAAGAGTGTGATTATTCTCATATTTGTAGTATATATTAATAAATTTTATCATACTTACCATAAAAGGAAGGGTGATTTAATTCATTTTTGTCTTGATTTTTCAATTCATTTCATTCCATTTTATTCTATAGTAAGCAAGCATGGCCTAAATTATACAACATTCATGACAAGTATAATAAAATTCAATAACATACTACAAATGTGGGAAACACTACATCCATCACAAATGACATGAATCATGATTTTCAATTTTATAAACTAAATTACAACTCCTCCTTTGAACATAATTGACTTATCTCCCTCTTTATCATGCTAACTCAATTTTTATCTTTATTTCCTAATTAATCCATCTAATTCATTTCCATTACAGCAAGCCACCGAGCTTGATTGGTATATTAATGGAGATCCCGGTACTGATGATTCGTTGACTTGATTTACACTCTCAAAATTAAAAGTTAAAACTGATAATCGATTATTTCATTCCAAAATAGAAGAAACCAAGTGCTAAAGCCTAAAAGACTACGCAAAGAATGAATTATACTCTTCGCCAAAGAATCTTACGTAAAGTAGAACTTAAGCAAAGTCAAGAATCTTTTTGTGCATGCTTTGCCGGCAAAACACCATGCATGAGGCAACCTCTCGTATAAACCTCAAACTTCTCAAATGTCAATACTACGTTTCCTTTTCTTCTGTTGATTTCTTCTTTTGTCGATCTGATCATCAGAGGACGTACGTCGTCGCTCTGTGACATCACCTGCGGCTCAAGCCCAATAACTTATATAGGTACATTCGTGCTTCAGTATTTGAAAGATATACATCTATATATATATATATAGAGAGAGAGAGAGAGAGAGAGAGTGAGAAGGAAGATAAATAGGTTTCGTGTTTAATTGAATGAACTATTTTGTATTGTTCGAAGAAAAATTTAAGCATTAGAATTTGGTATGTGGTCTGTGTGAGATGGATATATAACAGGATAATAGATTCAGGCTAAAAGAATAATTATCCATACTGATTAATTAACATCAGAACAGATTCATATTTGACACACAATGACGTCGTCGCCGTCAACGACATCAAAAATGAGCTTGAAGCTTTTAGTTGACGCAAAATCGGAGAGAGTCCTCTTCGCCGAAGCATCCAAAGACTTCGTCGACTTCCTCTTCAACCTCCACCGCCTGCCGATCGGCACCGTCACGAAGCTCCTAACCAAAACCAACATGGTGGGTTCCTTAGGCAAACTTTATGAAAGCATCGAGAATCTCAACTACACATACTTACTGCAACAGAACCAAGACATCAAAGACATCTTATTGAAGCCAAAAACCCTAATCCCTCCTGGCTTCCTCTTGCTCCCAAATTACGAAGGGAATATTGAAGATCATCAAGAGCCTCCTAAGCTGTACATGTGCAGGAATAGGTGTCAGTACAGTGTGACTCTGGTTATGAACACGCCATGTTTGTATTGCAGAAATCCTATGAACAGTGCAGTGACGTACGTGGGGAAGAAGGAGATGGAAGTGAAAGGTTATGGTGGGACTGAGAAGGATGGGTTTGTGAAGGACGTGGTGACGTATATGGTGATGGATGATCTTGTGGTTCAGCCTTTATCTACTATTTCATGTATTGCTTTGCTCAATAAGTTCAACGTCAAAGATGTCAGTTCACTGCAAGAAATGGCTGTTGAGTTTGGAATACAAGAGGTAATTTTAATATACATGTGTGTAGGGCTTTCAAGCATATATTATTATTATTTCATATATATGTGCCTTTTGAAAGAACCATTTTTTACCCTTAATATATTTAAGTACCTACCATGCCATTAATTTATTGGTTGTTTCACTCAAAGAATAAAAGTGTGACATGGAGTCTATTCTACAAATTAAAGGACTTGAAATTAAAAAAAGTTAATTATCTCCATGTAACTCAAAATTTGAGAGAATTATTTCCGCATAAAAAAATTTAAGGGGATCTAATAAATAATCTCTGCGGTCATAGATGATGAAAGAGTTAGTTGAGGGAGTTTATTTTAGTCGTCATTTTGTCTCCATATTTATTTATTTATTTATTTTGCAAATTACTCGTGCATATCTCTCTTGTTAGATTCTTGTATATATGTTAAAAACGGGTATTTTAAGAAAACTAGCTTACTTTTTACAAATAAATAACAATTTTTTTAATCTATGTCAATTTATTGATAAAATTAACAGATAATCCACAGCAGGGATTTGTTTGCACAAACTTTAAATTTGAGGTACTTTTTACATGTTTTGCAAATTAAAAAGATTATTAATACAAAGTTCTAAATTTAAGTGAGTAGTTTTTTGCCAAAAATAATTAAGAGATCAGTTTTATATAATTTAGTTTGCAAAGTTATTTTACCTTCTAAATATCAACACATATGTTTCTTGAAAGTATACTAGCATATTTATGCTTTTAATTAATTTGCACTGGCTTTTTTTAACCTGTTTGCTTAATATGCTGCCTCTTTTTTTATTTTCGTTCTCTTCTTTTTTTCTTCCTACTGCCCTAATCACCCCTTATTTACTAGGGTATGGAACTGCTTAAGGCTTCTCTACAGTGCAACAATGCTTTGACAAGTGTTTTCCTCAAGAATATCAAGTTTAAGAAAGAATCAAATATGATCCTGCTTCATTAATGCCAATATACACATGTACACACACACATCAAATAGTATTGCTTACTTGATTCCATTTACTTGTTCTTTGTCATGCATGGATAATTAAATAGGTATGCTTATCAAATATAAATTTGAATGGATGTAAACAAAGGGGGAGTTGAACTTGTCACATTTGTATTCCTTAAACCCTATACTTTGTTCTTTAATATGATCTCTCTTCCTTTTAGTTAGTAAGACTCATAAGGGGATTTAATATTGTGCCTTTCACCCATACAGGAAAAGAGCCAAAATCTAACAGATCTCTCATATCACTTTGCTTTGTATTTAATTGTCACATTCCGAAAATAGAAGGTGACCGGCATGGAGTGTAAACTATATCTCACATTCCCTAAGCTTTAAAAAAAATTCATTTTAAACACAATTGAATTTATACTGAAATTATGATATACTTAATAATATTTATGTTATAAGAAAAATTTTAATATTTTTTTAGAAATTTTGATAGAATTTTTCCTGTAAATAGGATCTCCTGAAATCTCTGCAACAAAAAATATTACAATATGTATTCAACAGTTTGGAGCTACACTCCCAAGTCACAGACAGTCAACATAATAAAATGAAATCATGATCCTAGCGACATTTAACATGGAGCACCTAAGCATAAGTCTCAAAATAAAACACATAATTGAATATTTACATAAAAAGAAAAGGCGTTTTCAAGGATAAATATTCACCCAATATAGTTGTAAGCCCATCAATGATTGACAAAAGGTTCAATGTCAGCTAATAAATCTGAGACCAAAATATTTTTTTTAATAAATAACATCTCCAAAAATAGAATTTAAAAGAGTGAAAAATAATAAAGTCAAACGATTATGTAAAATAATTAAAAAGATGATAATTGAATAAAATAAAATTATTAAATCAGTAAATCTTAATCATAATGATAAAATGAGAGTGAATTGAAATTGCTTTATTCGATCATGCTTGAAAAAAAAAATTATTCATATTAAAATCAAAGTAATACACTTACTAATTGAAACCATTGAAATTTCAAATACCCAAGTTAATTAAAAAAAGTTTAAAATTTTAAAAACTTAATAGAACAAGTAACAAACGTGAATTCATAGTCCATAAGGATAAATAACCAAATGCGACTTATGCCATGAAGACAAACATAAATACACAGTCCACAAGAGTAAATAATTAGACATGGTCAAAGTCATGAAACAGACACAGACACACAGTCCATGAGGGTAACTAATCATACATGGTTGAAGCTACGAAGTAGACATAGTTACAAGACCCATGAATAGAGCTCACAAAAATCAAACTAACTAGTCATTAACCAAGGCTTGCCAAAGGGTTAACGAAACTATCGTTAGCAACAGTGTTATGCTTAAAGTCTTCTCAAAATTACTTTTCGAACATGTGAAAAAATCATCATTATAAAAATATAATTCCCACTCTCGAAATCAAACTCACATGAATAATTTTTAAGCATCAAAACTTGCCAGAATAAAATTTTATAACTAATGTTTGTGCTTGCTTTTGTTAAGTAACCAAAATTATCAGAGCTGATAAAAATAATTTCGTCAATCTTAAAAGTACACTTCATAAAGAAAAATACACGCACATGCCATAATTTAATTATTTTTTCACATTACTTTGTAATTTCACAAATAAAGATATTTAAATAACAAAATATCTAATACTTAACACAGTTTTTATTAAAATAATTTACATGAAGATATAATATTTTAGAAAAATAATTTCATGGTTGAATTAGTTTAGATGCTATTCACTTACCTGAAATGTTTTTTAAAATTTATAATTCACCTATTTACCACTTATGTCGAACTTCTCTTTTTCCAAACATCCTAAAAATAATAAAGTTTTGATAAAAATTTTTAACCAATTCAATAGTTCCCTTTCAAACATTATTGCCACCAACATTAAGTTATAATGGGTTTGAAACTTTTAGAGCTAGGACTTTTCACATAAAAATCCCTCAAAGCCATAGATTAATACTTCATTAAAAAATACAATTTCCTATCAAACTTTTTGTCAAAATATCAAATGTACATTATTTTCAATTTCATAATAAAACTTTCAACATTCAAATTTATTACTTAATAATTTCTCAACTTAATAATTCCAAAGAACTCAACTAGCTACACAATATTTTCACAATCAAATTTCTACAGCCAATGACAAGCTCAATTGACAAAATCATGGTAGTCAAATCAATTATGTCTTTCAAGGATTTAATGAAATTTTAGTAAATTTAAATTCAAGCAAAACTCTCTTAATAGATATTTTATCAATCATCTTATGGGCATTATTCTTTAAACAAATGCCAACTTCTTTATCTTCAATTTCACTTCTAAAAATTTCATAATAGCAATATTGTAATTAATGACCAAATCAAACTCAATTAAAATTCAAACCCACATCCTCAATCTCTTATTCTTAGTATTAGAAGTTTCAGCTAAACTCAATTTTTTTTCCTTCAAACTCCAACATGCGTGGTATCACAAGGGGAAGAATTTCACAACTTCAACCATTCCAAACAAAATTATTTAATTCACAATTTCTAATCCATATTATACTTTCAGCACCTAATTTTAGCTTAATTCCATAATTTTTAATAATTTTTTTTTCTCAATAGTCACAAACAGCAGTAAAATTCAAGAGAGGAATTTCAATTTTAACAACGTCACCACACACTCACATGCACAGGTTCAGCACTGAGGCACCAACCACAACTTCATCCACTGATACACGCGCGCGCGCAGAGCCAAGTAGGGAGGAAGAGTCGAAAATCCTTACCTCTAACAACAATGGTGGAAGTTAGAAGAAGGAGACGCCGTTTCTCAAACGAGGAAGAAGAAGATGATGAATTTCAACCAGAGGCGTGCAGAACAGAGGAAGACAAAGAAGAGAACAAATGGCAGCAAGGAGGATGCAAAATCAATGGTGAAGTAAGGACCCAAGACTCGCGACCTCAACCACTACACTAGGTCGCTTCACCGGCGGTCTAAACAGTGGCCGAAGGAGGCCGGAAAGGACGAGTACTCTCCCTCTGTTTTGGGTCGAGAATTTTTGAAAGAAATTGAGAGAGAGAAGAAAGGGAAGGCCGACTATATTGGTTTTATCTCTCTCTCTCTCTCTCCCCTCTCTTTTTTTTTTAAGGGTAAAAGAGTAATTTGATGTAGGGTGAAGTAAAATGAAAATTTTATTTTTGGGCATAAGAAGATTTGAACTCAACCTCCCAGATCAATAGCTATATAATAGCCACTAGGCTAACTCTTTTTTTGGCTGAGTATATTTTCAAAATTAATACAATTACAATTAAAAAAATTATTATAGATTTTAATTTTATTTAAAATTTTTGAATTATTACATAAACGTAAATTTTTTTTAAAAATTTAGTTAATAATTAAAATTTAAGTTTATATCTTCAAAATTATTTGGGAGAAATAAGAAAGATTGATATTTAAGAAAAATTTCATTGATAAGTAATCTCAAAATAGGATTTTATCTAAAAAAAATTTATGAATTTAATCATAGAAAATTAATTTTAAATAGTTATCCCATTATAAATCTAATATATATAGATACATCATATGCAAGTGTAGGCAAATTAAGGGTGGAAAAAAAGTGTAAGCAAATAAAAATTTAGTAATGTAGTAAGAGATGTCATTTGAATTAGACAAGTCTACAATTAATCAAATAATTTTAAGGATTAAAGGGCATATTTATCCTAAGATTTTTTATATAAGAACATTGGATATTTTGAACTTTTATTGTGAAAACTTTTTTACGTCAAAACTTTTAGAAATGGAACAATTTTGCCCTACTGTTAAATTTGACCTCAATATATTTCACTTTCAATATGGCAACCACATGGCATTATAAAAAATTTAAAAAAACATAGATGTTTTTCCTTTTTCTCTTCTAGATTATCAACCATGGCATTTCACTTCTTCCACCCCCTGTTTTCTCTCCCTCCGACCACCCCACATTGATCCTCACTCCCTCCAACCACCCCCACCTTGAAAACTCACTCCCTCTGACTACCCCTACCACTTCATACATTCTTCGAAAATGATGACCAACTTTAAACTTGGATCCAAAAACCAAAGCGATCCAGGAACTCAAAATGAGGTTTGCAAACACTAATATTGTTTTCAACCTAGGAACACACAAATTCAACTAAAGTGATCCCAAAACCCAAATCAACAACAAAGAAATGTGCTGATAGAACAGGCGCAAATAAAAGAGATCCAAATCATCAATTCAATTAGTGAGGTGAACATCCCTGCGGCTTCATCATAAAGTTCTAAAAAAAATGTCCAGTATCAAAAGAAAACTGCAAGAATTTACCTAATATAAGAAAAAAAATATACAGACATGCCTGAATTCAATTAGACACAGATGCTTTCAAAACCACAAAATCCAAAGAAATAGAATATAAGAAACCACTAATCCGATTGGAACCACGACTAAAAACCCAACTTGAAAAATGGGGACAATTTAGAGATATAAAAAAGAGAGAGAGGAAGATGAACTTAACTTCGTGAAACCAGAACAATGGATTAGAAGAAAGTCATAGAACAAATCTAGATCTAATGCCTTAAAAGTACAAAAATTGAACTTTTTCTGACTCTCATCCTTCGCCTCTTCCATTCTTTCCCCTTTATCATCGTACATCCGACTCTACAATTCATCAACTTTCTTCTCCAACTCTGTCTTGACAAACAATATGTCGTATCATGGCTCAACAGTTACGAGGATCATTAGGCGGTGTATGTGTGCTTGGGTAGTCAATCTTTTGTCAGTGGAAATCAAATGGAGGGCATTGCATCTGTGTTAGAAGAGAGTAGGGTGCGTTTTATTTAGTCCATGGAAGGTGGCAATTAGGGAAAGGTTCTGTCAGGGTTCGAACCTTCGGATATGGGGAAAGGAAGGAGCCACCAACACGCCATGCTCTACTCTCAAATGAATAAGATGTCGATTTCCACTCCATGCTTTACTCTCAAATGAAGGGTTCGAAGCTTCACCTGTTTGATTGAGGAACGAAGAAGATGGAGAAGAGGAGCCAATGGAGGAAGAAAAAGAAGCAGAGAAGCTTTAATGGCCACATGTGATTCTTCTTCTTCTTTTTTTTAATTTTTTAAAAATATACCACGTGGCAGAACACAGCCTACTAATGGTCAAACTTGACGATAGGATAAAATTGTTTTTTTTTTTAAAAATTTTAAGATAAAAAAGCTATAAATAAAAGTTTAAAATGTCCAGCATCCTTAGAAAAAAAAATTTGAAGACAATTATGTCTTTTAACCCTAATTTTAACAGTAATAGTTAGATTTTATAATAGGTTTTCATATACAAGATTTTAAAAATACATTATAACACAATAATATAGCAAACCTAAAATGGGTCTTAGTGGTGTAAGGTTAGGAGGAGATTCAAGAGCCCATAATAATGTTGGAACTTGTAAGGATTGTGGATGAGTTTTTTTTTTTTTTTTTTAACAACCAAATAGCCAATATTTCAAGTTTATCTCAATTATTAATTTTATCTTTTAAGTTTAATTTTTATTAATATAGTCTTTGAAGCTTTTAAATTAATTTATCGTGTTTAGTATGTAATGACTTAGGAATTTAAGAATTTTTAAAATATGCAATACATAATTAGTGGACCAATTAAATCAACGATTGTTTAAAATAAAACAGGGCCAACAATTAGAAAAAAAAACTAAAAAGAGAACTCAGAATGTATTCACTGAGTTATAATAAATAAGTTTAGTGGTGATTTTGTTTGGTATATGCCCTTAGGATTCTGGGTTTGGATCTCTTTTTGCCTAAGTGGAGCATTTTATTTATTTTGGCCAAACCTCAAAAAATAACGGAATGACATTAATAAGAAAGCCACGCACGCATCAGCTTTCCCATTCTTTCCTTCCCCATCTGCGATGGTTCCAGAACTAACGGGAGAGGGTGAGAGCTCGGTGTGCCGTCTTTCATCCTCTGTTTCGATCGTCTATTGCCGGCAGTCATGGGTGTGCTTCCGCCATTGGGATGGGTTCTGTAAGCTCCCGATTTCTTCCTCCTCCTCCGTTTTAGCATCACGTGCTTTCCTTCTCTCTATCTCCGTTCTGCGTTGTTACTGTCTTGGGTGAGTGGAAGGGCTGGATTCTTTCTTTCCATTTCTCCTTTGCTTGTTGGTGAGTTCAAACATCATTCGTTCCGTCCCTTGTTTCAGATTTATGTGGTTGTGGTTGTTGAATGGGTTTTTGTAATAGAAATAGAAAAGCTGATTCTCCCTCATTGTTCTTGCTTGTTGCATAAATGGGAGAGAAGTTTGGATTCAGGAAAACTGAAATTTAAGTTTAAAGAGCATGAATTTTGATAAACAATTCCACTTCAATTGCTTTCTTGGGTTTCAAAAAAATGGGTATGAATTCGTGCACCTGTTAGGGAGTGAGTGAGGTTTTAGCTAAAGCTTCTTATATTGCTTTTTTCTTATTTAATTGTGCTAGGTGCTTTTGTTCTTCTTATCATATTGCTTAGTATAAAATAGTGCTGGTTGCTGCGTTTGTACTCCTCTTTTAAGTAATGATATTTTACTCCTTTACTTAAAAAAAAAAAAAAAAAAAATCGGGAAGTTTAGATTGGGTTTTTTTTTTTTTAGCTGAAATTGAATCTCCGAAAGGAATCGAATTTGAGAAGTATAGTTTGATTTGAATGCACATAAAATATTTGATAAATTATTTGATAGAAGAATTTTATTTTAGGATAGCAAATGAATATGAAAAATGTATTATTGTTAACTAAATTATTATAGAAGATAATTATTTTTTATAATAAAAGGTTGGAAATAAAGGTAGAAATTTTGAGAAAAAAAATATTTGGTTAATAATTATACATTCAAGTTTGTTGTTCTTATGTTAGATTTTTTTTTTGGCACATATAAAGTGCGAGACGGAATGTTTGATTAAAGAAAGTTTATGAAATTAGACAAACTTGAGTGATAATACTAATTAAATCATAGAAGTTGTTTATCTTCTATAGGTAGACTTGAAAACATTGAATATTTTTATATATGTGTTTGTTGAAGATTTATCATTTAATTCAATATGGCTTCTTATTTGTTAAATGTTGATGTTGAGATTCTCCTTTTCAATTCTCCAAATTTGTTTGAATTGAAGATTTTGGACTTATAAAATGTATAAAAGAAATAACAATAATGTCCCCTGGACTATTAGGGAATTATGGCACAGACAATACTACAAAGAGGATTAATTAGAAGTAAATTATATATTTAGAAATGTTTCAATTAAATGAATAGCGTTCCAATGACTTATAGATAAAATTCATTTTTTTCAATATTGATCGAGCATATTGTCATGCACACACATGATGTTATGATTTTTACTCTATTATTGATATTTAAAGGTTAGTCTAAAACAAATATTTTATTTGATTTTATTTATTTTTCAATATTCTAATTACAAACATTCAAGTACGTGAACTTGTGTTAAAGAAGTTTGATATTTGAAAAAATTGATATGGTATTCCATCGATAATTGGGTTCTATGTACGCTTGAAAATCTTTCAGTGAGATTGAATACAGAACACTGGTTGCCAATAGCAGTCCTGTTAGCTTTTAGCGCGCCATGGTATATGTAGCTAACAATGTACATAGGAGATGCTAGCCTCGTGTGATAATTAATGCACGTGGATTGGAAGGATGGTAATTCGTGAGCATTATACTCACATTTGTTTTCATGGGGCTCATGCCTGTGCTTGTTTCATGGCTCATGCCACACTTACTTCATGGCTTTTAGCCGCGCTTGATTGGTTATTTATCCTTATGGACGATGTATTTACGTTTGTTTGTTATTTATTCTCGTGGGCTGTATGTCCACACTTGTTAATCGTTTTGATAAAGTCCTACCAAATAAAAAAATAATTTTGAAATTATTATTATTTTTACTAATCCTATTAAACAAGCTATTTTTTTTTTTGAATAGATTTCTTTATAATGAACGATGTATCTCCTAATTTTTTGATATGAACATGATATTGTGTTACTATCATATGAGAATATTTTTAGATAAAGTATTTGAATGGAATCATTTGATTTGAGTCATGCACCTTTTTTATTTCAAATGACCATTTTAGTTAAACTCATGCTTATTCCATTTATATTTCTTTTTTTATTTCATTTAATTTTAAATTTGGGGCATTATTTACTAAAAAAAATATTTTTGGGTTTTAGATATAATTGTTGAATCTATATCTTCGGATAGTTATTGAGAGGCTTTACCGATGAATTGAAGCGGAAAAATTCTTTTAGGCAAATCTCAACTTGATGTAAATTTTAACTTTGTATTATTTTCTTAACTTGAGTATTAGGTGCTCCACATGTACTGTAGGTAAGATCCTTGTCTTTCTTATGAGATTGTATATCTGTTGGTTAGGAGTGGAGCTCCTTTTGTTGGGTTGTTGTTATTCTTTTTTATTGTGAGATTTTAGAAAAACTTACTTTTAAGTGAGGTTTTGCTAAAAAATTTCTACAGAAAATTATGAATCTTCTTGCATAAAAAGTATTAAGAAAAATAAAATCCTGTTGTGATGTCAATTATGTTTACGGTATAATATGTGAATTTCTTGAATTAAGGCTGAAGGGATTTGTGTTTTATATGCATATCCTGTGCCGATCACATTTAATCTTTTAATTTTATATGAGGTTTCATTTTGATCTCTTAATTTTATAAAGTATCATTTCAATCCTTCAACTTTAATATTATTAGTTTCATTAACAAAAATAATTGACATTGAGCTTTTAGATGTTGATAAAAAATTATCAAATGTTGATATATTAAGTTTGATTTTTTAAAATAACAATGATGACTAACAGAAAAAAAAAATCATTTTGAGTCTAATAACAATGTTATGGTTGAATGAATGAAAATATACTTTATAAAATTAAAAGATTAAATTAAAATATTATATAAAGTTAGAGGATTTAAGGTGTCTTTTATCCAAATTATTCTAATATGTAAAGTATGTTGATGACTTTGCATGCATATATAGCTAAATGAAAATAAACTAGCTTTTAAATTAATTTCATTTTTACTAATCTAGCCCCTTAAGCTGCATTTTGTTCTTTTACTTTTTTTTTAGAATTTCTAATTCTATTTTTTTTTCTACTTGAATAAGTATATCTTTTATTAATTCACATAGATATCATCAATATTATGTGATTTATGTTAGCATATCTAAACAATTAGGATCAGATCAATAATTTCTACAAAATATATTTAAGGGACTAAATGATAAAAGTCAAATTTGAAAGGCCAAATAATAATTAAAATAAATTTAAAGATTAAAATTTTCTTTGTGCCTATTTTTTTATTAAAAGAATAGTGGATCGATGAGATTACGCAAAGAATTAATGATATTCTTCTGCAAAGAATCTTACTTTTAAAAAACTTAAGAAAAGTTAAGAATATTTTTTGTGCTATGTTTCCTTTTCTACTATTGATTTCTACCTGTAGATCTAATCAACAGAGAACTTATATCGTGGCTCTAAGTTCTGACATCACCAACCTCTCAAATTGAAGAACCTCATAGATACATATGATGATCAGTCCAGTTTTTCCAATCATGTTAAGATGGGTCTATCCCATCCTTAAAATAATGAAATCATTATTGGACATCCCTTCTAATCTTGAATACATTATTATATTTTTTATTTTATTTTATTAATATTTAATATTTTGTTTATTCAATTAGAGTTAAAGTATATATTTTTGGTTTATTTATTTTATATTCTTTTTACATAACTTATGTCACTCAATGATTTTGTATTGTTATAATATTTATAGTCTAAAAGTTATTTTTTGTTATTATTGTGCACTTGATTTTAAATTGTGATTGTTGTAATTGTATTTTTTTTACTTTAAATTATAGTTACTGTAACTAAATTATTAAATTTATATATTTATATTGTTTTGATTTTCTACTTAACAGAGTCTGCGAAAAGGGATCTAATTTTATTTTATTTTTTTCTGTTCTTTTCACTAGTGGGTGGATACAGCACACCCATGCGCGCGCGCACCATTTGGGTAAATCTTCTTGGCTTGTTCAAATGTACAAAATTGAAAAGAAGCTAGACTCCAAATTTTAAAAAACAAATTAAAGGGAAAAAATTGAATGGGATCGGAAGAGAAAATTATAAAAAAGAAGTGTCATACAATATCATGTGGGTGTTTGGTCTAGTGTGCTCTATGTTAAACTATATAGTTTAAGTCATATTCAAACACGTGTGTTTTCAAGTTGCATTTAACTGAATGGAGCTAGTATATTTTGCTAAAAGAAATATTACCATTAGCCGTGGGACTTATTTTAAAATCATCATATTCTTTCTTTATTAATATCATGTATATATCTTTAATATTTCAGAATTCACATACACAATTCTTCAAAGGGCGTCATTTCCTAAAGGCATTCCAAGAGAGTTTTTGATTTATAGCGTTTACTCATTTAGTACTATTTATGAGATAGGGGAATTTTTTTTTTGTTTTATTTATAAGGCATCTAAATGAGTATTTGTCTATATTTATCCTTTTACATCTGTTAAATGGTCATAAGTTTATTAAATGCTAGTGTATTTTGTTTTTAAAATATTATTTAAATGGTAAATTTGGAAACTTGTTGATCATTTTTAGATTGATAATGAGGTTTAAAATTTTTCTTGATTCTGGTGAAAATGTTGGAAGTGATTTATAAATAGGAATAGAGAGAATATGTTTTGTGCATGTATGAATTAAATTCAAATACTACAAAATTGATCTCACTAGCAATTTAATAATTCATATACTTATTCATACTAATAATATATTATAGATTCATCTTTAACAATGAAGACAACATCATCATCATCATCAACAACCACGTCAAAAATGAGCTTGAAGCTTTTAGTTGACACAAAAGCTGAGAGACTTCTCTTCGCCGAAGCATCTACTTCGTCGACTTCCTTTGCAACCTCCACCGCTTGTCAATCGGCGCCATCACGAACCTGCTAACCAAAACCAACATGGTGCGTTCCTAAGGCAAACTTTATGAAGGCATCGAGAATCTTAGCAACGCATACTTGCTACAACATAACCAAGGTAAAGACATCTTGCTGAAGCCAAAAACCCTAATCCCTCTTGGCTTCCTCTTGCTACCAAATTACGAAGGGAATGCTGAAGAAGAAGAAGAAGAGTCTCCTGAGCTGTATATGTGCAGGAATAGGTGTCCGTACAATGTGACTCTAGTTATGAACACCCGGTGTTCGGATTGTAGTAATACTATGAAATATCCTGTGACGTATGTGGGGAAGAAGAAGAAGATGGAAGTGGAAGGTTTTGGTGGGGAGGATGGGTTTGGGAAGGAAGCTGTGACGTATATGGTAATGGATGATCTTGTGGTTCAACCTATGTCTCCTATCTCGTGTATTGCTTTGCTCAACAAGTTCAACATTAAAGATGTTAGTTCACTACAATAAATGGTTGTTGAGTTTGGAATATAAGAGGTGATTTGTGTGTGTGTGTGTGTTTTTTTTTTTTCCTTTTATGTTTGTGTTTTGCCTGTCTACTACACTAATCATCCCTTATTTACCAGGGTATCCAACTACTGAAGGCTTCTCTGCAGTACAGCAAGGCTCTAACAAGTGTTTTCCTCAAGGATATCAAGTTTAAGAAAGAATCAAATATGATCCTTCATTAATGTCATTGTGTGTGTGTATACTAAATGGTATTACCTATTTGATTTCATTTAATTGTTCTTTGTCACGGATAATTACATAGTTATGCTTATCAAATAAAATTAGCATGGATGTGAATAATAAACAAAGGGTGAGTTGAGGTTGTCGTGTATTCCTTTGTCCCCATAGTATAATACTTTAATTTGTGCTTTGTGAAATTGGTTACTTTTTCATATTGGCTTACAAAATGACTACTATAAATATTGTTATTCTAGACAAAAGTGTGTGACTGTCAAATATGGTATAACTTATTTGACATTTATTGGGAGAAAAACTAGAAAGATTCATTATTTTAAAGAAATTTTCACTAACTACAAAGAATCAGAATAAAATGGAAAGAAATAAAAATATATAGTATATCGATCTACCCCTAATATAATTAGAATCTCAAATGAGATTATCTAAGATTTTTTCTAGAATTAATTATGGCAAATAAATTTTAAGTAGCATTATCCCATCATATATTACATATATGTACATATACATCCTCACACTTTGAAAAAAATTATAAAATATATAGAGTATGTAAATTTTATAATTTTATACTTTCGGGTTCAGGTTCTAACTCCACCACTATGTAGATCTATATGTGTGCATACAAATAAAGAATCTATAATAAGAGACGTCACTTTTGTTAGACAAGTCTATTAAACTAAAGTCATTTTAAAGGAGGTAGATGAATGTTAACCTATTGAAATTGATGCCAATTCAATACATTTTCCTATACTATCTTTGACTAATTGATTCAATTGTGAATATTTTGGGTTTAAGTATAGGAAAATGAGCTCTAAAATTAACCCTGAAAATAGAATTTATTGAAAATTTTTGTAAAGAATCTTGCCTTAATTTTAAACTTTGAAAGATCTCGTAACTGTATCTATTATTTCAGGTGACTTCATTTAGGTAATTTTAACGATAGAGAGCCAAATGATATTTAAAGATGCATATGGAAATACAAAGGCAGTAAAAATTAGGCCACAAATGAATATTGAAGGCTTTATGCCATGTGTTGCAGTGCATACATAGTGTGCTGCCACATGTGGCACAGAGAAGGACTTACTGGACATGCACAAGCACACACAACTTATTGTCAACACGTCGCAACACACTTCCACATTTTTACACATGCACCGCAGTGTACTGTCGACACATTGTGGTGCATGACTTAAATTTTGCTATGCTTTTCGAGCTAAGGAATGCAAAATTAGGGCTACATAAGCCATAACCATGCCTCTAGATAGAGAGCTACTATTTCTAAAGGTCTCAAGAGGCTTGCTATGCCAAGGTTTTGGGTTTTTGAGGGAGATTTGACTAAGGATTGAAGAGTTGAATAGATTTAAGTGGATTTCCTTCAGTTTTTCTTCTTCTCTTCCCTTTTCTCTCTTTGTTTATGATATAGATGCTGTACATTTTATCATTTGTGGCTCTTTTCTGAATATGAGTAGCTAGTTCTTTTATTTTAGGATTATTTCAAACATTTGTATAAAGTAAGACTTAAATATTCCTCTCTTTTGGTAGTTAACGAGATGTGTGTGTGTGTGTGTGTGTGTGTGTGTGTTTGTTTGTTTGTTTGTTTTATCTTATGCTTAATACTTTTAAGTGCTTGATCACTATTTAGATTATTTTGTTCACTTGAGTTGTGCTTGAGAGAGCTAATTTAGGTGTCAAATTTGGATAAAATAATGTTAGACTTGACATTTACAAAGATAAATGGATGGTTATATTGATAAAATAAAGATATTTTATTAACCCTTTATAGTCTCATTAAGATTGAAGCTTAAAAATTATTTTCACTAGTTATTTCCAAGAGATTGTGAAATTTTAGTGTTTGCAAATATACTTGATTTTAACTTGAGAAAGCTTTTTCAAGTAAATTAAAATCTTAGACTAACATTTATTTTTATTAAAAATATTTTTGAGAGGAATTAATTTAAGTTTTATGAAATACAAAGGGGAGAGATAATCCTAGACCCTCACCTCATGAAATCAAGGTTTCAACAAATTTTAATTGCTTTCAAATACTTCTTAATCTAATTTTCATTACTTTTACCCAAACTTACCCTTAATTTTGCTCAACCTAATTCAAAACTTAATAGTGAATTTTTAACTCTCTTTTTCTTAAATCCTCATGGGAACAATAACTTTGGAAAACTCTTTATACTTGTGATGACCTATTTGCTTACGGTAATGCTTGACGGTGAATAATAAGTTAGAATTTTTAGAAAATTGAGACTTTCTAGCCCATAATAATGTTGAAAGGATTGTGATGATGAGTTGATTCATGTCCTTATAACATCCAAGGACTCAACAAAGAGGTTGACACATTTGACTATGATCAGATAGGATATTAGAACTAGGTCTAGTTTCAGAGCATTATGCTATTACCATTATGATACAATAGTAGTAGTAGTGGTAACAATAATTTTTACTCTACTAGTTGTGGTCGATTATATGGATTGCACGATACCATTGTACTATATCATCAACCAAATTTTTAGGAATATTGTTAATTAAGAGGTCTTGTTTAACCATTTCCATAAGTGTTTTCTTTAGTTTTTCTCTACCCCTCTTTACAAGGCTCAAGATTATCCATTTTAGTTTCCTCACTGATGCCTCCCACAACCTTCTCTATATATATTCAAGCCATTTCAAATAATTTTCTACCATTTTTCCCTTTATAGATAGTCCCAAGCTTGGATAAAGGAGGAGGATTGTGTTAGCCTTATTGACAGCTAATGTAAAACTAATTTGTTGAATCTTACTTGAATATGGTATTACCATTGTAAAATAACTCTCGCACAAGGAAACAAATTAATGATCCAATTATTGAAAATAGCATAATGTTTAATGAGTATGCAAATGCAAATTTATCAAGATTGTCATGTAAACATGCAAAGATAGTATTATCTCTTCTCTCTCAAATGGCTCTACTTAAAATTTGAATATTTCTCATGATTTAATATGATCCCTCTCCACTTTAGTTAATGAAACTCATAATGGACTTCAATATTGTGCCTTTATCCACATAAGAAGGGAGCCAAAACCTAAATAGATCTCATAATACTATATGTGTGATTTCTGTTTAAGAAATTGGATAATAATAAAAATTTAAGTTTATATCTTCAAAAATCTAAAATGGGATTTTATCTAAATTTTTTTATAAATTTAATTATGGAAAATTAATTTTAAATAGTAATACCATTATATCTAATGTAACATCCTGAAAATTTTAAGACTCAAATTTATTTTTAAAAAATAAAATATTTATAATTAAATTAAAATTAAGAATAGTATGATAGAGGTTCCAAGTTTGAATTTTTCTAAGCAAAAGTTTGGTTTTATTTTATTTTTAACTACAAAAAAATTACCCAAGTTGACCTGACTTTTGTGTTATAATTAAAAAATATTGGGCCCTTACTTGTAATTTGCCCTAAACTTTTTAGTTCAAATTTTTTTATAAGAGCACGCAGAAAAGAAACAAATGAAATAAGAAAAACAAAAGGAAAAGAAACGCATGGATGAGAGAGTGAGAGGAAAAAGAGAGGAGGAAGAGAGGGACTTGGGCTCGGATCTGGAAGGCTTTACGGCCGTTGTGAGCTCAGTTACGCGGTAGGTAAACTCCCTACTTCAATCCACTTCCTTCTCTCTTAATTTTCTTCAATTTTTAGAAGAAGGAATTTCTGAATTTTGATCTCAAAGGCTTTTTTTTGTAAGCCTTAGTTTCTTTAGGTCCTTGGGAGGTTGTTTTGAGTTTTTATATGGTGCTCTAATGTTTTGAGTGGATAATTAGATGAAAAGAGGTGTTTTAGGCACAAATTAAAACCCTATAGATTGGGTTTTGTTCTTTAATGGTTAAAGCCTATTAATTTAGTTATAATCATGATATTTGAAGCCAATAAGATTTAAATTAAACTTTAGTTTTCATTATAAGGACTCATTGTGAAAGTTGATAATACTAAGTGAAGGTTTTTGATTGATTACAAATTTTATGGTTTGGAAATTGGCCTAGTGGTGGCTAATAAATGGTTTTGATGGTTGAGTGATGCCATGTGACTGGTCGGTTTAATATATGAACCATTAGGATAGATTATAGCTCATTGAGCTAAGTTGTGTGGTACGAGCTATAGTCTTCTTTTATGCTATTTGCCATGATAAGTGATATGGATCACTTATATGTTGTAGGGATTATTGGTGAAATTTGTTTAGAAGTTAAAGGACAAGCCAAGTCATATTTTTGTATAAGAGAAACCCTTTTGGTATAAAGGGGTTGAGGTAACAGGGAAATTTTTATTTTTTATTGCTTTGTTTAGCTATTTTTGAGTAGATAATATTATCTAGTATGCATTACATGTTTTAAACAATTGAATGCAAATAAAATGTGTTTTAGAAGGGTTTATAGGGTATTTCTTTAATAATAATGTATTTATATTTACTATCTATTTAATAATGATGTTACTTATGGAAATAAGATTATTAGCATGCATTGTGATCATAAAAAACGGGGAGTTGCACTTAAGGAACTGTAACTAGGTTTAGTACCTTAGATAAGCTAAGAAACCGCTTAAGAGATAAATTATGAGTTATATTACCTTAAGTGTTGAAGTGGTCAATACTCGGGAAAGGTAGAAAAGGGTAGGAGGCATGATCTCGGTGGGAGTTCACCAATGGAGAGATGCGGTCTTGTGATATTCTATGGCTCACTGTTAGTACTCAGTGTTGCCTTTTTTATTATGGGCTCAGTACACTAAAGTGGTTAGTGGATTAAGTATTTGACACCTCTCAATGTGGGAGGGAATCCGGCATATGAAGTTTAAGGTTAAGTGCTTAGGCCAAGGTAGCCCTTACATGGAGAGTAAGTCAGGCTGGCTTTGGGAGGGAGTTAGCTTCGACTGCTCAAGATTCGCGTTAAGGGGGCACAAGCGGTTCGGTGGATTAGATTATGCCTTGGTTTATATTTTATGCCTCTAGAGGTACAGTGGGTGTAAGGTTTACCTACAAGCTAAAGAGTGCCAAGGGGCATTCTATTGGTCAGGAAAGGTCATATCGGTCTATCTCATACATTCAAGCATTTTAA